TATTATATATTACTCCTATGTCAATTACTATATGCTAGGACCTATAAGTCCATACATTGTCTACGGTCGGCAGTACACTTAGGTGGCACTAATCAATCAACCTCTGAAACGTCTAACAGTATCCAGCATTCATACGCTTGTAGGCTACACTGTTCTATATGCAGGATTGCATTACTAGGAAGCATTATTTTTTGCTTAACAACCATATGTTAGGACCTGCAGCCTTTATATCGATAACCGTAGACAGTTTTTCGAGCTATATGTCTTGACTCATAACTTCTTTATCATTATTTTAGTTTTAAGCAGAGGTATTTTTTTGCGATCTTTGGAAGCATTTGGCAACCACACGCTTGCATTATATGTCACCTCTACCTATTTTGCCAATTTAGACCACTCTCCTTTACTCCATTTACTCCCCCATTATTATTATGGCTATTATTAGCTAACGTCTTCCCAAGCAGCACAGACATGTTGACCTTGCAGATCATCATACTGCTCTAACATGCTTTCTTTTCGATACATTCATCGAATTCTATATCATTTTATAGATACATGTATCCTGAGTAAATTAGTACTGTCTTTTTTGTTTTTATTCTCTCACTTTGCATTTTATTTAGCACGTTTGGGTTATTGTTATTTTTATGATACTATTTAGTATACAATAAATTCTTTGTTTTTTGACCTTTGGTCTTTTTTACCCGTGCCTCAGATACTCCTACATTTTTTGGCTATCATGTAGCACAGGCACACGTTGCTCCCTCCTAATCCTCTCTTTTTTAGGTACACTACTCTCAAGCTTATTGTCTATAATGAAAGCGACAGCGAGGCTTATCTTCCTGTCCGCCTGCACCTCCCACTCCTCCCCCCTCTGTCGATCCTTCCATTGGCTTCCCATAAGATCCTGACACTTGCTTACAAATCTCTACACAATGCTGCCCCACCTACTTATCTTCACTAATACCCAAATATGTCCTTTCTAGGCCCTTACGCTCTGCCCGGAGACCTACACCTAACCTCTGTTCGTACTCCTATTTCTGATGCTCACCTTAAAGACTTCTCTAGGGCTGCACCGTTACTATGGAGCGCCCTTCCCCTCTCTGTTAGCCTCTCACCCAATCTCCACTCCTTCAAAATATCTGTGAAAAGTTTTTGAACTTCTTTAGGAAAGCATATCAATTAAACTGTGAACAGCTTTCCCTCCATTCATCCTGATTCCTCTCCTGAAACTGTTATCAAAACAAAACACTAAGCCCTCAAGGAATACTATCCTAGCAACATACTTTTCTACCCAACCCTTACCTTTTGTGTCACTATACCCCACTCCCTTTAGCATGTAAGCTCATTAAGCAGGGCCCTCAATCCTTCTGTTCCTGTGGGTCAAACTTGTCTGGTTCAAAATACTTGTCTATTAGTCCACCCATTGTACAGCGCTATGGAACGTGTTTGTGCTTTATAAATAATAATATTAATAATAAGTGCTACGAAGATTGTATGGATAGTAACTCTCTCTACACATTAACTTGCAACTTTCATTCTATGCTCATCTGTTTTCTTGACGTCCTCCTACATTTCATTCTTTTAACTTTACCTTCATAATGTTTCTATTGAACACCCTTTAATAGAATGGAATAGGATAGTATTGAATTGCTGGGGATTTCACTGTTATTATATTAGACAGCATCGCCACCTAGTGACCATTATATAAAATTGCATTCAAAATGGAAACAGTCAACACCTACACTGATCATTAAAGCCATTTTGTAGGTCCTCCTAGTACTGCCAAAACAAGGCAGACGCATTGAGGCAGGGTGTACATTACAATGCCTGCAGGTACTTACTATGCACCCCAGAACAACTACTCTGAGCTGTAGCTGTTCTGGTGACTATAGTGTCCCTTTAAGTATTCCATCAATTTGAGCTACAGTAGCTCTTCTGTGTGATTAGACCATATGGTACATCAATGGGGCCTGGGCATCCATGACCCTGACTCCAATTCACTGGTTGTCCTTCCTTTTCTTTATTATTTTATTTTACTTTAAGCACAATGTATAGAATTGTTAAAGGTGCACTGATCTAATGCTATTTAAGGTTTCTTGGTGAAATAGTGCTATTAAAAAAATTCTGCTAGAGCTAATCAGAGTACTAGCATAAGTTCGAATTACAGCAGTGATGGTTCCACCAGAAGTTTGGCAGTTGTGTCCTGACATATCTATAAACAGCAGCAGTTACATGATAACTGTTTGTAAAACAAAGAGTGACAACACTGCATGGTCACTCTGTGTCCAGCAGATGTGATCTCTGTTAAAGGACCACTATAGTGCCAGGAAAACATACTCGTTTTCCTGGCACTATAGTGCCCTGAGGGTGCCCCCACCCTCAGGGTTTTCCCCTCCCACCCGGCTCTGGAAGGGGGAAAGGGGTAAAAACTTACCTTTTTCCAGTGCTGGGCGGGGAGCTCTCCTCCTCTGATCCTCCTCCGTTCCTCCCTGTCGGCTGAATGCGCACGTGCGGCAAGAGCTGCGCGCGCATTCAGCCGGTCGCATAGCAAAGCATTCACAATGCTTTCATATGGACGCTGGCGTCTTCTCACTGTGATTTTCACAGTGAGAAGCACGCAAGCGACTCTAGTGGCTGTCAATGAGACAGCCGCTAGAGGCTTTGGGGGAAGGCTTAATCCATTCATAAACATAGCAGTTTCTCTGAAACTACTATGTTTATAAAAGAATGGGTTAATCCTAGCTGGACCTGGCACCCAGACCACTTCATTAAGCTGAAGTGGTCTGGGTGCCTAGAGTGGTCCTTTAAGGAGGAGGATGTTTAGGGGGGCTTGCAGTACAGGAAAGAATTAGCTAGGGGCTAAAATGCTGACTATGTTAAGATCACAAAGTTGGCTTTTAAAGATAACATATTGTTCGTGTAAAGACAGACAAAAAAAAAGGCTGCAGCACATTCATAGTTGCAGTACATTTGAAAACACTAGATTTGTAAACGGCAAAAAAATTACTTTAGCACAAAAAATAAAGAACATTTATTATTTTTACTGCTCGTGCTAATTTTCCTTTTTTGGTCACTTCTCACTTTCATCTATGAAGAAAATCAACACTGTGTGGCTATTCCCTGCCATCAATCATCTTTTTCCCATCAACTTTCTCCTTTTTGGAGGAATTAAAAATTACAAATCAAAAAACATGCACGTTTTGTTTTGTTTGTGATTTGGCTACATTTGAATTGGAGTTAGAGATTTTGGATGATCACCAACTCAACACAAAATCAGATGAATTGCAGTGCAGAACTAAACAAAGCTCCAGGTCTAGTAATCAGTGGCCGTGCAGACACAAATTTCATATTGCATCCCTCCAGTAACTGCATTATGGGTGGAAAAATTACCACAAGTCCTAATTGGAACATTTTGGCCAGTTTTTTTTTTTTTTTTTTTTTTTAAACTCTTAATTCCATTAAACTTCTTTAGGTTAATATATGTGACGGACCACCTGGCACCCTGACTGGGTACCTCCATCACCCGCTGCTTCCTAGTACTTGCGAGCACCAGAGGCGCTATACTGGAACACCATAGACTCCCACAAACCACTGCAGCTTGGTTGGGGATCTCGCCGTCCTTCACCCACCATGGACCCAAGACCAGGATCCAGCTTCCAGTGGGTAGACCTCTCCTAGTCCAGAGAGCGTAGCAGGAACAGCTCTTATAAGAGATAGTGATTATACTCAGGGAAGTATTGTGATATAGCAATCCCCAGAGTGGCTGTAGTTCTCCAATCCCCCAAACAAGACTTTATTAAGGGGTAAACAAATCTCTCTTTTTAATGGGAGCCACACTGGCCTTTTATGCAAGTTGCCAAGCAAGGTGTATGCCCACATGGACCTTCTTGGGGACAGGGACACAAACTTAACTAATAACAGCAAGGTTGCAAAGTATGACACTAACCTACTAGAGTTGAGTGAACACCGCGATGTGCGGGTTCGGCCGAACTTTGAAAAAAAGTCCGGGATTGAACCTGCCCCCGAATTTGACCCCGAACTCGAACTCCATTGAAGTCAATGGGGACACGAACTTTTGGGCACAAAAATGGCTCTAAAAAAGTTCTGGAAAGGGCTAGAGGGCTGCAAAATGAAGTAAAATGGGGGTAAGAGTAGGACAAGTGCCCTGCAAACAAATGTGGATAGTGAAATCACTTAACCCCTCAAGGACACAGGAAGGAAATATTCCGTAATGATTCCCTTTTATTCCAGAAGTTGTGTCCTTAAGGGGTTAAAATAACATAAAATACAAAAAATAAGCAGCCGCTTAGTAGATAACTCCCTAATTCCCATGGTATTAGGGAGCTATCTACCAAAAGGCTGAAAGACCTAAATTGGTCTTTCAGCCAAATTTACTAATACTAAGTAAAGATTACTTAGTATTAGTAAATTCAGCCCCTACTCGCTATACCGTGAGTAGGGATGTGTCTAGTAAACAGTGAGCAGCAAATGGCTGCTCACTGTAAAATACAAAAAACAAAAACCTATTGCCCCCAACCCCTGGGCGACGGGTGGGGGCCCTAAATAAGAATGTGGAGGGGGGGACCTACTGTCCACCAATCAGAGTGCTCTGTGACATTTTACAATGTCGTTCATCCCTTATCTGTACTCCCTTCCTATTACTGTTCTAAGAGTATTTGCACGTAAGCACTTACTTTTTAATGTATAAAACCCAGGTGATGAATAAAACGGCAGAGGCTTATTTTGAATACCAACAGGTGTCTGGTGTCTAATGCTCGCTTCTCCAAGTGCACTTGTAATAACAATTTGGGCTTCCTCTGAATATAACAAAGATCATTATTTGGATCCACAACAGTTTGGTGCCGTGACCCCGGGATCAGACGAATCCAGTTCATCCGGACCCAGAAGGGTTGGCTCGGAGCCCAGACGGTTAATCAGCTGCAGCGGGCAAGAAAAAGCTTTTATTTTTCTACCTATAAATGATTTTGACTCTCTGGTGCTCTTTGGGTCCCATGGCAGCATGATCTTTACCTTGATACCGAGCACACCTTGCCGGAGGAGCATATGGCGTACAGCTGTATCCACGTAGTAGTTGACAGGGTCTCCACTGTGGATTATCAAGCCATCCACAAACTTCATGGACTTGGCTTTCTGACCTCGCAGCTTGCCAGACACAACAACTTCACAACCCTTGGCGCCACTCTCCATGATGGTAAACAAAGACCAATAGCGTACTACTCCACCAGTTTGTACCCTGTTGCCAGGGGTGCCCCCTCATGTGTTAGGGCAGTGGGGCTGTTACTGCCCTCCTGAAAAAAGCCACTGATATTGTCTTAGATAACCCAGTGACCATATGACACACCGCATGACATTAACAGCATGCTGTCACTAGTTCAACCAAAGCACATACATACTGCAAGGCATCTCAGAATGCAATGTGCCTTGCTTATGCCACCTAATGTTACTCTGAAAAGGTGTATGGTGTTAAATCCATCTACATTACTTCCCCTGGATTTAAAAGAGGGGAGTGGAGATAGTGGAAATCGTACTTGTTGTTCTGATCTTTTTGTAAATTCACATTCACCAGATGAGTTAGCTGACGCCCAGGTACCCCATGATTGTGCAGCACTAATGGCACAAGAAACAGTTTTTTTGCGTGTAATTGATTCTCCATTTTTTTGTAGATGGTTCCAGATATGCTGATGAGAATGGCAATTTCCACACTGGATTTGCTGTAGTCTCTGCACATGAGGTAATAAAAGCTGAACCACTCGCTCCTCACGGCTCTGCACAGGAGGCAGAGCTGAAGGCACTCGCTGAAGCGTGTAAAATGGCTTCTGGTAAGACTGCTAATATTTATACAGACTCTCGCTATGCTTTCGGTATAGCCCATGATTTTGGTCCTATATGGCAGGCCTGTGATTTTCTCACCTCAGCAGGATCTCCAGTCAAGAACTCTGAAGCCATGAGTGCACTTATGGACGCTATCCTGCTACCTACCCAAGTAGGCATCATCAAGATGGCAGCTCACGTGAAGATCACAGATGAGATCTCAAGAGGAAACCACAAAGACGAAGCTGCCAAGCAAGCAGCAATTCAAGTTCATCCCTCTACAGGTAATACCTTCCTACAAGTTGTTCCTCCAGATGATGCCGTTGACTACAATATACTGTTGAGCTTACAAAGACAGGCAAGCAAGGAAGAACATGACCTCTGGTGGAAACAAGATGCAGAACCTGATGATGACAGAATGTGGAGGAAAGGTAAAAGACTGTGTTTGCCACAAGTATTGTACCCCATGATGGCCCAGATTGCCCATGGACCCACACATCTATCCAAGATGCACATGAACAGCATAGTAAATACCCATTGGGTAGCACCCGGATTAACTGTTGTAGCAGCTAAACACACCCAAGCTTGCATGATTTGTGCTAGAAACAATCCAGGACACGCTGTCAAAACACCAAGGCCACTTTACCCGTTTCAAAGACTGCAGATAGACTATATTCAACTGCCTAAGGTAGGAGTGTATGAATATGTGTCGGTATGCATTGATCTCTTTTCAGGTTGGCTTGAGGCCTACCCAGTGTCGAAAGCTACAACGAAGGTCACATCAAATAAGCTTCTGAAGGAACTGGTATGTAGATATAGAGTACCTGAAGTGATTGAAAGTGACAGAGGTAGCCATTTCATTGGGGAAATAATGCAAGAAATTATGAAAGCCTTAGGGATCAGTCAGGCTTTCCACACCCACTATCGTCCCCAGAGTAGTGGGAAAGTAGAAAGGGCAAATGGCACCTTAAAGAACAAGATTGCAAAAGCCATGCAAGACACAGTGAAGCCCTGGACTGAATGCCTTCCCCTATCACTCTTTTCTATGAGATTCAGACCCAATTCTAGACATGGCCGATCCCCTTTTGAGATACTGTTAGGATTGCCCCAAAGACAGGCCTCTATTTTCTCCAGATGCAGCATGGTAGTATGACTGCCTATGTACAGGCCCTACACCAAAGATTAGGCAGGGTGCATAAACAAGTCTTTGATTCTATTCCAGATCGAGACTCTGATTCTGCAACTCACAAACTGCAGCCTGGTGACTGGGTGGTGATAAAGAGGCATGTGAGGAAAGGACTTGAACCACGCTTTGACGGCCCATTCCAAGTGCTCTTGACTACGGCTACCTCAGTGAAACTAAAAGGAAAACAACGTGGATACACGCCAGTCACTGTAAACAAGTCACTCCGACATGAATCTGTTCTTATCCTTTACCACTGTATACTCTGTTCAGATATTCTACTCTGACTTGAGACCAGAAGATAATAATGCATAACAGGGAAATATATAATTGCAGATAGCAAAGGCTTTTAATTTAACCTCCTTTTTCCTCAACCCTCTCCTCAGTACTGAAAACGCCATAGAATCTTGTCTTATAGCTGTCCCTACCCCATCTCACTCTTGAGGAAGTACCTACATACCTAGAAGAGCTACTTACGGACAACCAGGCAAATAAGAAGGCAATCATTGAGAATAGAGCAGCAATTGACTTTACTAATTAAGAAAAAATTTTACTTTTTGCAATTAGCTACATTTGTTATTATGTCCATTTTTTTTTTTTAACCTTTAGATTTTTCTCATGTCTACTAACCTCTCTATGTAAAAACAAACCTACTGTTGGTCGTACCTTAACTTACATTCCAGCTCTGACTTTGGAAGGGTTTTATGATGTTACCTCGCCTAACAAATGAAGGAACTCTCCTCCGCTGATTCTGGTGGTCTCTCAGTCCAAGGGAACCGTGGTGAAGCAATAAATGAAACTCCCACAAGCTTTGGCTAGCAGGCCTGGAAATACCTTGGACTTGGATGAAAAGAGGGGATTGTGATAGAATGTATCTTGATTCCAAGGCTCAAGCTTATAGGTGTCATATGATATCCTATATTAAAATTGGCTAACTTGGACTCAGGAAATGCTTGATGCTTAACACGACACTTAAGACCATATATGTCTAGTTCCGGGAGCAGAGAGCCCCCACCTAAGATGTCTCTTCTCTAATCTTTTTGTTCTTTCTTACCTTGGAACTTATTTGTTATGTGCACATGACGTTCATCCCTTATCTGTACTCCCTTCCTATTACTGTTCTAAGAGTATTTGCACGTAAGCACTTACTTTTTAATGTATAAAACCCAGCTGATGAATAAAACGGCAGAGGCTTATTTTGAATACCAACAGGTGTCTGGTGTCTAATTCTCGCTTCTCCAAGTGCACTTGTCATAACAATTTGGGCTTCCTCTGAATATAACAAAGATCATTATTTGGATCCACAATAACTGACACTCAATATTTCCGATTCTGTGCATAACTACAATGTGAAGGACAATTCAGTGAGTTTTGATTACTCTAATATGTATTTGATCAGAGTTTAATCATTTTAATTTATATACATATTAATCAAACTTATTTAACTATAAATTCCAATTACTCCCTTTCCAAACTCTAAGCCATACATGAAAGCTTTGAGGAAATTAAATTTGTATATATGAATACATTGCCTTTGAGAAAAATCTAATACATTTTAAAATGACCATATCTTGCATTTTAATTATTTTGCTTTGCTGTATACCATTATCATTTGTAGGACATGAATCTCTTCTATTCTTTTATCAATGAGGCACATTAAATGCCAATGAATGATTTATTATGGGCAATTTGTTCAATAATATGCTTACAATTGATCTATCTATCTACAAGTCTGTCTGTCTGTCTTTCTGTCTGTCTCTGTCTGTTTATCTATTTATCTATCATGCACAATTTGTTTTAGGGTTTCATCCATATATATCGAAATCTCTTGCTCATGTGACTATTATCCAGAATTATAGAAAAGCCTGATCTATAGTGCATACATTATTACTATATATCATGGGTCCTCAAACTCCAGCCCCCCAGATGTTGCTGAAATACAGCTCCCATGATTCTTTGAATTACATAGATAGCTATAGTTCAGCAACATCTGGGGGGCCAGAGTTTGAGGACCCATGCTATATATGAAGTGTGAAGGGGAAAGTTTTGCTGCTGTAAAATTATTATTTTTAAATCTACAGATTCAACTAAAAGAGATCTTAATTCTTCATTATGTTAAAAGTTAGGCCAACCTGTATAAAAATGATAAAAAGAGAAAAATGGAAACTGATAGTGTAGTAAATTTATATATCCTTGTAAGGAATGAGGTAAGTAAAACGTGCATTCACACTTTTATGGAGCCTCAATCTAGCTCCAACTTAAGCGCCTGGGTGGAATAATTCCTGCCTCAGGATATAGTGTAGCACTGGTTCAGCAGATAGTCCTTGTAGTAGTGAATATTCTTGCTGATATATAAAAGTAGAATGGAATAAAATTATATTACACTATATTATTGTATTCCATTCTACTTCCATTCTATTTCACACTTAAAATTCCAAAAATAAGTAAATGTAAAGATGTATACTCTCATATTTAGGAGACTCTGTATTGGCCAATTCAGCGGCTCCTCAATATGTGAGTGTACATCTTTTCACCTACTTACATATTTTAAAGCCTCTGCATTGGTCTTGAGAAAAGTCCCAGATAAAACTGAAATGTTACCACTTTTCTGGTGTATGTGTCACGGTTTCCAGGGACCCAAACACACAGACAGATCAGGACAAACAGAATTGCAGTACTGGTCCTTAAAGCGGCTTGGATATGCAAACAGAGAGAAGTCAGAATACAAGCCGAAGTCAAGAGGGGGAGAGCTACAGAATAACGAAGAACTAGCCGAGGTCAGGGATCAGAGAAAGCAGGATAATCAATAGACAGAGCCGAGGTCAATAACAAATAATCAAACAGCATAAACGCACTACAGGGCAACAAGGTATGACATCAACAAGCTTAAATAGGCAAGAGCTATTTGTGATTGGTCAACTTCCACCTGTAATTTATTACTACTCGTGGAAGGTATTTACCCTTCTTAATCTGACCCGTTGAGTCATCGCTATGCGCCGGGTTCAGTAAGGTCATGCGGGCACATATTTAATGATGCTGCAACATCAGAGAGACTGTTGTTCGGAGACCACATCACCAGGGACTCCGGCGGAAGGCAAGTGGCCATGGAGCCTGTGACCGGCACCCGGAGCTCCGGCAGAAGGTAAGCGGCTAGCAGCAGCACACAGAGCTCCGGCGATAGGGAAGCGACCGTGAAGCCTAACA